CTTTTAAAGTTTTCTTTCATTTGAGCTAAGACAACTAGATCTACATCGACGAGATTATGGTCATAAAGTTGTGTAGAAAAAATGTGAGTGAAACAGACTGTTACAACTTTCCCATTTAAGAACAAGTCAGTTTCATTTTTAAAAATATAAACCAATGTACAAAAGTTTTTAAAATCGAGGTAGCCAAGCCGGTACCGCTACTAATACTGAGGGTACTTTGCCCGTTACAAAAAAAAAGAAGTTACATTCAGATATATAGATTCTAGTTCGTCGGTCGTGGCAAGCTGGAAAATGATAAACGCTGGATATGGAATAAGCAGAGGGGCTGTGCAAAAAAAACTTCATTAATAAGCGAGGAAGGGGTGGGGTGTCCCTTATTCGATACCATAGAGTAGGTGTAATTCCTACCTACCAGAAGATCAGGGGTTTGGCTGAAAGACATCATTAAAAAGGACCCAGGAGAAGCAGTAGAAAGGCTGCAGAAAGAGCCAGGAGCCCAGAGGAGGGGACAAAGGAGGTGAAGGGGTGGAGTCAGAAAGGGGAGACGAAAGCAGACGACAGAACATTGTAAGAGAACAGGAAAGGGTGTGAAAGGAAAAAATTGTAGTGAACTGGGAGGAAAATTTTCTGTCGCTATCCGGATTCGAACCCATTACCTATTGAATGAGTGGCAAACACTTTAATCTCTAGGCCACAAGAGCTCCCGAACAGAGTGTACCCACACGGCGGGTCAAGAAGGCCTTCTGATAGAAACAGAGGATACGTATTTTCCGATACAAAAACGGACTTCCATACTCAGATCCTCACAAACGAGTTAAATACATGTTATATTAATATGTTCTGGTTGACAGCTATGTGTAATGTTTTACGCCTCCCAGTGACACACATTAGATCATTAAGGAGTCGAGTTGCTTCGATCCTGCCCCCACCAGAGAGGATACTGGAGACGGAGAACCAAGATTCCTCGAGAGCAGTCATTCGTGTAGTGATCTTAGGTCTCTTTTCCTTTCTTCTTCTACCCTCTACCCCCCCCCCCTCCTCCTCACTCTCTCTCTCTCTCTCTCTCGCTCTCTGTCTCTCTCTCTCTCTCTGTGTCTCTCTCTGCCTCTCTATCTATCTATATATCTATCTATCTATCTATATATCGATCAATAGATCTATCTATCTTTCTTTCTCCCTTTACCTCCCTCTCTCCCGCTCTTTCTCTCTCGCTCGATCTTTCTCTGTACTCTTGCTCTCTCTCAACTTCTTTTTGTCTCTTCCTCTGTAACTCTGACTATTTCCCTCTATTTCTCTCTTTCTCCCTTTCCCCTTTCCCCTTTCCCCTGTCTGTCTGTCTGTCTGTCTGTCTGTCTGTCTGTCTGTCTGTCTGTCTGTCTGTCTCTCTCTCTCTCTCTCTCTCTCTCTCTCTCTCTCTCTCTCTCTCTCTATTTCCCCTCCGTCACCCCACCACACCGATCGCGAAGTAAAACGTGTTTGGACTGAGCATGCCTTGTCCAGCCAGTCTAGACAACATTAGTTACCTCTCTCCACCCTACCCATCAGATCACTCCCTAATCCTATTGGCCACTGACCCTTTGCTCTTTCCCTCTACATTATTCCTTCCCCAGAGCTCAAGAACAATTATTGTTCTCAAATGGTAAGACCGTGATTCACTCTCGTGATCACTCAGATCAGTGAAGATTTTTTTCCCCCGTAGTTGACATTGTTTTGTAAATTTCCAGGTCTTTTTACAAGACACAGGAAATTGGTATTTACATTTTTAAATCGCTTGAACTTTCATTTAGCACATTACGCCCTTTTCTTCTCTCCCTTGTGATTATAGAGTGGAAAAAAAAACCTAACGCAATCCAGTTGAAAAGCAACCTTCAGAGAGGTTGGTGAGTTCCCTTCTTCTAGCCTATCAAAGGTTCATCTAGGCTTCTTTTCTTTGTAGGTTACTCTACTCTTCGGTACACAATATAAATCATATCATGATATATCAAGCTGCAAGTGCCTCAAAATGTACAACACGTAAACGTCTATGAACTGACGCCGAGGTGTGATAACACTTGAGTGTACTGATTTCCTCTCCTTTTCTGTCTACATGGCCAAGAGATTTCTTTTTAAAAGGTCTTGTAGGTAGGCTACTGGCGATATTAAGCCTCCATCGACACAATTAAGACCAGGGCCAAGCCAGGCTGACTGATAGAGATACAGCAATATCCCCACAGAAATAATGGGATAATCCATCAAAATTTCTCCTTACTCGGAAATCGAACCCGCGTCTCCTGTGTGCGACAGAGAGGCACCTAACTGCTACACCACAGACGTTGGTCCAAGTGCTTTGTCTCCCACTGTCTGTCTGTGTCTAATAAGGGCAATAATATTGCTCTTTTCCTTCCGTCCCATTCCTCCTCCTCCCGCTCCATCTACCTCCTGATAAATGACGATATGCTAGACCCCAAGTATTAGGTCGAATTGGCCCCGACAGGCAGGGTCAACGCCTCCGGTCTAATAAATAAGCAATACCTTGTCGATACGGGCGCAAAACGTCTACTATGACTTAACAGCCTTCTTCTTCTTTACGTAGTTAAGTGACAGATAGTACCGGGGCAAAAACGGGGACGGAGGAGAGGGAGGAGGAAGGGGAAGGGGAGGGGGAGGGGGGACTGGCATCGGAGAGTAATGGTAATACTCTTTGATTTTTCTCGTAAAAGATACGAGTCCGACTACCGCGGTAATGCGTGAGGAAGTCTTTCTGCTGAAGTGGTGATTCCTGCCAACCCGAGCACAAAATATGCTTTCCGACGCTACGTTTTGAGGTTCTCAATTATACCTTGCCAGGTGTTAAAATTTACTATGAGAATTTGGACGTTGTCTCTCGAAATCCCCCCCCCCCCTCCCAACCCCCTTGTTGTTTTTTTCTTTTATCCACGATTTTTCCCGTCCGTTGTCTGTTATGTGGATGAATGGCTCAAGTAAAAACTACATTTATTGTCCGACGTCTTTTTACGCCAACAAGCTTCTCATGTCCGGCGTGGGAGGTGGAGTTAATTTCAACAAAACTCAACGTAACTCTGAAAACAAAGGTGCACCACTCCAACCATGTAGGCCTGTGTAAATTAACACTGATGACACTGATGTTGAGAAGCACGGAACACTTTTTATTTATTTATTTTTTTGTGGGGGGGGGGGGGTTGTTGTTTTTTTGTTTGGGGGGTAGATTTGTTTCGTTGTGGTTTTTTAAATTTTGGGTCATTTGTGATAAGAATCTTGAAAAAAAAACATCAGTCTGTCTTGATTTTCTTATGCGTGTTACACAGTAGTTGTAATTTAATTTGAGACAACAAAAAGAGGACTTGAACTAACACGATGGATACATGGGTAGAGTAGGCCTCCGACATATAACTGTTCCTCTTTGACCCCACACAACGCGATCAATCACTCCCTCCCCCCCCCCGGGGTCATCTCCCTACCTACCCCTCCCATCTATGAACAGTCTTTCCAATAGCCATATCGTCGACAGCTGTTAAATATATATACTAAGCCCAGAAAACATAATTTTATAGAAAATGAAAAGGCTGCTTCATTCTTTTAACAATAATAATTAGGCTACCTACATGGTGTATTCTTTCTTTACCATTTTTCACAAATATACATTTTGGATTTTGATTAAATACTAAATGTATTTCAAAAGCGCGTGCAACGGATACCACAGATTGAAGAAACAGCAGTCTTTTTTTTAAATCTAAATTTTTGGGCTTCGTACAACTAAACAGCTAGTCGACGAATTGTTTTTCCGAAGAACGCGATGCATACAAACAAACAAGGAGCAAGTTTCAGTTAGACACTATAACAACTCTCTTTAATGACAATAACAAAATGAATTAATCTAAGTGAAAAAATACGTTCCAAAAATATGTTCCGAAAATACTTTCCGAAAGTATACGTACGCGATAAATGTAAAAAAATATTATATATAAAATACATGTATATATAATTTTATACACAAATGTTGGATATATCATTATGATGGCTTCATACACTCTGGCTTGATGTTTATAACTGATAATGATATTAAGAATTAAGGTAAGGATGGGGGTGGGGTGAGACTTGCCAAGTTTTTAGATATGAGATAATAAAAAGTTAATTGTAGGTATCAATAGCAATGGGATTAATATGTGTTCAGACTGAAACGTGGTAGTTGCATTGATTTTACGTTAACATTATTAATCTTTGGTTCAGAGGTATGAATATTGCTTTTAAGATTGGAATGGAAATAACAACATTCATATTGTAATCTGAAAGTTACGAGATCGCCCAAGCTAACACTCTCGAGTACGTTTTTTTTTCACGTGTGCACGTCTGTGTGAATATGCGTGTGAGTATTTTTGAGTTTTCATAATATGTATGTATGCGTGTGAGAGTGTGTGTGTGTGTGTGTGAGAGAGAGAGAGAGAGAGAGAGAGAGAGAGAGAGAGAGAGAA